ATCCTAAAAAACTACTGATATCAACCACAATAACCCCCCCCATTTTTTTGGGTTTTTACCCAAGGAACCCCCCCACCCCCCCCCCCCCCCCCCAAAACAAAAAAAAAAAAAAAAAAAAAAAAAAAAAAAAAAAAAAAAAAGCCAGAGACTACTTGTTCTCGTAGGGCGCGAAGTTAGGATCGTTAGTCCCTATTTGTAAGTAACATTACAAGATACATATGTTGACTAACTTCCTCGCATGATTAGGACTATTGCATGACGTGCGCACCATTCAATGCCTCGGGCAATATCTTTCCTCTGCTGTCTGACGCGTTAGCCGTCGGTGTCGTGAACGAATCGCGTAAAGATATACCGCGATACATCATCGCCAACACGGGAAGCGTTCGGTTCGACATGTACAAGGGGCCTTTCACTTATGACGATCAATTCATCGTCTCGCCGTTCCGTGACATTTTCTTGTACATTCCAGATGTGCCCTACGCCTTGGCCAGGAACTTAACCGAGTTACTCAACAATGCTGGTGCCAGTCGGAAGCGTAACGTTGGTATTATCCCTGTTGAACGCGACATCTGCGTCGACCCTGTCCCTGTCCGCTTCACCGAATCTAGGAGCGAAGAGCGTCGTGCGTTTAATCACGAATCTCCTAGAATTACGAGGCGTCAAGTTGTCGACTTGACCGCCGGTTATACCACCATGGATGACTTTGGCACTGATGGCGACGACACTGCGCATTCCAAAATTCCGTACTACGAAATCCCCGATTTTTTCCAAGGCGTAGCTGGATTTAGTGATAATCAGACGGCAGATGTTGTTGATGTCGTGTTTGTTGATTTGTAAGTTTCCACACGGTTATATGATGTAGGCTGAAAGGTTTAATTTTGACTGACTCCTATTGCACAGCATCGAGAGTGATCTTCTTGCTATCCTCGGCTCTAATTATAGCTCTGCCGATGTCTCGTATTATATCGATGCGAACTTCACAACCCAAGACTACTTGCCGTTGTATATCCAGCAGACGAGAGCTTTCCAAACCGGGTTGCCTAATTGTAGGTAGGTAGGTAGTTAGGTAGTTAATAGGGATTAGTTTAGCATTTAACGACGTCTTATCTTAATGCGATGTTGTTCAATTGATACACCTAAAAGTAGAAATGATGTTGATTGTGTAAAGTTCCCTAATACCAGGCAAAGCTCGATATTTTCCTAGGTAATATCCCAGTTACACTTACCCAAGAAGCTAATTAGGGATAGTACCTACCTAGGTACAATACATACGTCAATCCCCTTAGCTTAAGCTTAAATTCGCGCTATTAATAGCCAATCTGCCAATGGACCCCTCCTACCCCACGGTTAGGTACTCCAAGAGGTATTTACATTTACCTACCTACCTGTTACATGTAGCTTATCTACCTAATCTTTTATCTTCCCATCACATTTTCAACCCACCATCCCATCCTATCCCATTGCACCCGCGGGAATGGCCCCGATTCCCATAACTATCATAACAGGCTTCCTGGGGTCGGGTAAGACAACCCTCTTACTAAACCTAACCCCCCAGCTCCGCGCCGCCAACCCCGCCTACCGCCTCGCCCTACTAAAAAACGAATTCGGCGATGTAGCCATCGACTCGCAGCTAGCATCCTCGAGCGCCGTCTCCGGCGTCCAGGAGTTGTTGAATGGGTGTATCTGTTGTAATCTCGTCGGACAATTAAGCACCGCGCTCGCCGAGCTGCGCGACACAGTCCACCCCGACCGCATCGTCATCGAGACTTCCGGGTCCGCGTTCCCGGCTACACTTGCTATCGAGGTGAATCGGCTGGCGCGTGAGACGGGAGGGCAGTATGTGCTTGATGGCGTGGTTAGCGTGATTGATGTTGAGAATTGGGGCGGGTATGAGGATACGAGTTATACGGCGCGCATACAGGCGCGGTATACAGATCTGATTGTCTTTAATAAGTGGGAGACGTGCGATGAGCGCAGATTTGACGAGTGTCTTGATAGGGTGGGTGACCTTGAAGTCGACGTTGCGTGGGTCAAGAGCGATAAGGGTCGGGTTCCCGTTGATGTCATATTTGGTATTGACGGTGGGTTGGCGAGGACACTGACGGAAGAGCCGGCGGCGAAGGGTAGCGATCATTCACATAATCACGACAAAGACCACGACGATGGCCATAGTCACCAGAGCGAAGTCGAGGTCTTGTCAGTCACCCTCTCCGGGAAGACAGGCACCGCCGTCAATGCGACGAAGCTAATGGCTCTATTAAACTCGGCGCCCAAGGACGAAGTATATCGAATCAAGTCTGTATTAACGGCATCCTCGACAGTCCGGAGCTCTGGCGAAGACGAGTCTGCAGCATCGACAGCGCCGTCGAATCATCCAGGGAGATACATCTTGAACTGGGCCTTCGGGAGGTGGACGTTTACAGCGCTCAACCCGGAGACGGTTGAGCATAACTCCAGCCAACAGACTATACTACGCATGACAGTAATTTTAGCTAGGTACGAGAGCGCGAAGTGGAAGAAGAAGCTAGAGATAGGCGGATTTATAGAACTCGAGGGTGACGAAAAGGGAGAGTTGGAAGTTAATAGGATCTCCTGAGACTCAGCAGTCCTGCTCTTCTGGTAGTTAGACTTAAAGTAGACTAGAGTAAGATAAGTAATACACGGTCATTGCATCATAGGATCTAAGAGTGTGCCTATCTGGCACTTAGTATATGATTGCGGCTAGCCTCCTCTATTGAATGAACCCTACATATGTTGTAGCTAACAATTCTCGGTATCATAACAGCATTACCCCTATTCCATGAATACTACATACATAGATGACACTCCGCTCCGCCCGTCGCCTCCCCGCTGTGCCGACTTAATTACCAGCTCCGAAATCTGGATATCTGCTACTGGAAAGCACAATTGTGTAGGTTACATACTTCGCCGACACCGAAATTGACAAACAGCTAGGTATTGCCATCCTGATGACCGCGGAAAAGGATTTTTCTTTGTCGATCAATTTTCAACTTAACGCCACAAGTCTCGGTCTCCCTTCTTCTTTCCGTGGCTACTGCCGGGCCGAGGCCATGCGTCGTCCCTGAGGCTGCTCGTGCTTGCAGTACTTCCACTACGTCCGTGGCCGCCCGGCACAGCCAGATAGCTTGGAGGGCTGGTTGCCTGAGAAAGCGAACCCTTTCGAGATCCACCGGCTTGCCACCCAGAACCCATATCCGCAAGGCCGTAGCTACTTAGGGGACGGCCACTGAGTGAGCCATTACTGCGGTGGCCCCTGCGCCCGCTACCCCCACCGCTATAGGCATCGATGGGGTCCACTGAAAGCAGATAGTTAGCTTCTGCAAATTATGGAAGCGTTCTTGTGACGATGAGGTTTAAATAGTATTAACTCGTAGAAATGGCTCGGACCGCTAGTTTGCGATTCGAGGGGATTCATAAAACCAATCATAGATACTTACTTCTAATACTTCCCCAATCAAGGTCATCTTCTCCTTTCGTAAAAACTTCCAGCGGCTGATTGAGCTGCTGCGCCCCAAACTGTGATGGGTTGAATGCCGCGGCAAAGGGGTTATTGGAGCTGAAGCGTGGCGGTACGTTCCCAAAACCTCCTGTTAGTCCCGGCGAGGGAAGGCCATTTCCCATATTGAACATCTTGGCGCTGCTTGAGCTGCTGGGACGTTGCTGTCCTCCTGCAAAACCGGGCATGGGCGGTGGAAGGCCAAGGAGGAGGTCTGGGAAGTTTTGATCGCGAACGTACACGGCAGAAAGACGTGGTAAACCTCCGGCAAAAAGGGAGGAAGCTAGGTAGTTATAATAACCGCTCGTTACACCCACGTAGGCAGGGGTAGCTGACGACGCCGTGATCTCGTAGCGCAGGGTTTGTAGGGACCAATTGACTAGAGGAGGGATTGGCCCAGAGTGAGTTGGAAACGCTGAGTCTACCTGGTCCATAACAGAGAGCGTTTTCAGGTTTGGAGCATGCGCTAACACGGCGTGGAGGCTGGGGGCTTGAACGCCGGTGTTGGAAAGAGATAGCACCTTTAGTTGCCTCTGTGTGTCCTCCCTAGACAGATACGCCACAAGGCCGTCGGAAGTGACTCTCGGTGTATCTATCAGGATCACTTCTTCCAAAGCTGGAAAGGCGGGCAGCACGTCGTTATACTTAAACATGTCGTCATCTACAATCCTGCAGTCAGACACCTTTAGAGCTCGTAGGCGCTGAAGCACCGTCAGTACGTGGCGCAACGCCGCCGGATCCATGTTGATCCTAGTCAACTCCAACACTTCGAGGTTCTGCCAGAAGGTACCTGTACTCAGTGCCTCCAAACTTCGCTCGCTACCGCCGGTATAAGCCATCTTCCTAAGGTTGGGGCAGCGAGCCTGTACCTCGAGCTTGAGGGTATGATAAGCCGGGTCGTCGCAGTACAGGCCCTCGGGCAAGTCGACGTAGCGGAGGTTGGGCAAGACGGCAATGGTCCTCGCCAGCGTGGGGCTACTCGATTCTCGTAGCATATAGGGCGTCTTGAAGTATTGAACGAGTTTGCCGAGGCGGGTTGGGTCTTCGCGCAGAGAACGACACAACAATTGAAGCCGAGCGCTGGCGGTATCTTCGGGGAGGCCATTGCGATCGAAACGACTCCTACGCTTTCGCTTCTCGGAGAGGTCGATCTCACGTTCGCAGTAGTGCACGGAATCGATACGGATACTATGGTACCTGCCGCGAGTTTCAGTAACGGATTTATCCAAACTTATCTCCTCAATTACCAAAGACATTTCACCTAGGGAGAACTCACATCAACTTGACGGCCGCCACCCTCCAGCGCTTGCATACTTGGCCGGCGTGAGAGAGATCACGAAGGTCGCAGAGCATGCAAGCATCTTCCAAGGCGCTTTGTTCGCATGTCTCATATGAATCATCGCAGCAATGCGGACAGACGAAGGAGAATACCCTCTCCAATATAGGAAGGGGCAGCTCTAGCCAGGGCGCGAATACGCGACCCCTCTGAGGGTCCAGGCTGGCATAGTTATTCTGATAATTGTTCTGGCCGGGGTTGTATGAATTATACTCATCTCTCCTATAGTCGTCATGAGTAGGGATATGAGATGGCTGAAGCTGTTGCGACGGCTTCTTGCTACGTCGGAAGAACTTCTTGAACTTCATGGCGAGGCCAGGCTAGGGTTAAATGATACGGATATTTGCAAGGGAAAGCCTCGCTGCTTGATTTTGTTAGAGTTTAATTAATAGGACAGCTAAAGACACACATACGTCTGTTTCACATACTCGGGCCACATGTGTTCTTCCTGCGGGAAGGCTACTTGCGTGCATTGGACGATTGTAGGAAAAGAGAGGACGTACACGGCAACGGTAACGGTTGGCTTACAATGAATGCATCTCGAGGCTCGCGGCGCTTTGTTTTACATAAAAGCGAGAGAGTGGGGAATTAAAGGGCGTTAATTGCTAGGGTGCGGGTGCCTCGGATATTTCAGGTACCTGCATCTAAAGATAGGTACATACCTCATATTTAACTATCCAGTATTACATATCTCAAATGATCTGCCCGAGATACTTTAACAGATTAAGTAGGTACTTACATGTAGGTTACTCGGGCGTAAGACCCACCGCCATAATGGTACTTTACCGTACATAAAAGGGTTTATTAAACGGTATATATACCGTATATATACCATTTAAAAAATTAAACCGCTTTAATACTTAAAAAGAAAGGTTTTAATTTAAATTTTAATAAATTAAACTTAATTAAATAGTTTAAATAAATATAAACGTATTAAAATAAAAACCGTTAAATTAAATTAAATTATTTATATAATAAAATCGTTTAAATTAAATTAAACCGTATTATTATAACTTATTATAATTAAACCGTTTAAAAGTTTAAATAATTTAAAATTTCAAGTAATTTATATAATATATAAATATATACGGTAAAAAAAAAGTATAATATTATATTAATTATATAATATTATTATATTAATTATATAATGTTATATTTTTATTTTTTATTTATTATATATTTATTTTTATTTATATTATAATTATTATTATAAGGTTTAAATTATAAAATTTAATTATTTTAATTAATTAAATTATAAATATTATTTAAATAAATTAATAAATATAAATAATTACGTTACGCGCGTACGTATATAATATTTTTAATATAATATATATATATTTAATAAAATAAATACGTATATATTATTTATATTAAATTATATATATTATATATATTATATATAAAGTTATATATTAAATAAATTTAATTAAATTAATTAAATTTATTATATATTATTCGTATAAATATTACGTTATATATAATATTAAATTATATATAATATTAAATTATATATATACGATTTATTTAATTAAACGATTTAAATCTTTAAACGGTTTAATTTTTTAAACGGTTTAATTTTTTAAACGGTTTAATTTTTTAAATAATTTATTTTAATTAAACGGTATTTATACCGTTTATTAAATTAAATAATATAAATATAATTTAAATTTATATACGTTTTAAAAAATTAATATATATAATAAAAAAACCGTATATATATTATTTAATTAAATAAATAATTTAATAAAAAATACGTAAATAAATTTAAACTTTTATTATATTAAACGGTATATATATAACTTAAAATATTAAATTAAATATATACCGTTTAATAAACCTTTTTTAAAACGGTAAAATACTTTATGATTTTTCATAAATTTATAAATACCCATTTATAAGTACTTAAACATATTTATCGTATATAAATTTATACATTTTATCTTTTATGTATAATAAGTTTAATCTTTAACCTATTAATAAAAGAAGAAAACCCTTAAAAAATAAAAAATAAAAAAAGGCAAACTTAAAAGATAAACCTCGGGACGTTAAAAATAATGTTACATTTATATAAACAGGGATAATATATAAATTTTACTAACTGCCAGCTAATGCGGTGCTATGCAATCACTATAAAACAACATCCAATGGTTTACCTTCTGTTACCGGGTCCTCCAACCAAAGGATATATGCATATGCACCCGCCAATGATCTTCCCTCCCGCTACACCGACCGCAGCCCAACCACAACCTGATACCTAAAACTAGCTTGTCGAAATCCCCCAAAAACGCGTGGTCCTCATCCCCGGCATCCAATGCTCGCCAATCACTAGTGGTTCCCGTTGAGCTGGAGAGGCGATGCTGATCCAGAGATGTTCGACTTCTTCGTTCGGAGTGTTAATGGGAACGGGTACTCGTCTGGGTCTTCCTCCTCCCTGCATCATCACCGGTTAGCTACAGTATTTCAGCTCGCACGTTCTTGGTTTGCTTACGGTAATTTCCATGCCACATAGTCTTCCGTACTTAGGCCTTCCCTTCCTTCTTGCAGGCTTGCGAAATCACCAGGCGTCATCATGCCCGTACGGTCCCGGGGGGAGCCGGGGACTGAGAAGGGTCGTGAGATCTTCTGTTCAACTCCGGGGATAAAGTCATCCTCATCGTCGCCGGAAAATGATCCTGGGTAGGCTCGTCGCAGGGCTAACTGCCGGGCTTTGACATATTCCATTCCCATCCTCTTCCAGTCTAGGAGGTCGCTGAGCCTCTCAGTTCGGTTGCGCTGGTTGATCCGTTGTCGCCGACTTTTTTGGCAGAAATCGAACATGTGTGAGGCAAGCTGGTTAACCGAGTCGTCGACACCTTTGTTGCGTCGGTCCACAATGTAGATACCATAGTCGGCCGAATTCTCGATCAGCTCCTCCATATAGCAGCCAAAGCCAGACAGGTTGGTGGTGATACTAGGAACACCCATAACAGTACACTCGGCAGGAGTATAGCCCCACGGTTCGTAGTAAGAAGCGAAAACGCCCAGATTCGTGCCGCGCACGAAGTCGTCGTAATCTAGAGGCAAGATTGGGTTCGACGAATTTAGGAACTCGGGATGGAAAATAATCTTAACGCGATCTGTTGGATGGTTAAAAAGTTGGACCCGTCGAATCTGGTTTAGAATAGGGTCTTCTGAATCGTTGACCATATTATGTGTGACGATGGGTGGTAGGCCGTGCCGTTTCATAGCAAAGAGACGGCGCCGGAGAACAACTCTATCGGCGCTTGTGATGAGCTCTTTCTCATCGGGCATCGGATCTCCGTCATGCCACCTTAAAGACCGTTCAAAGACACGACGACCGATCCCGCGCTCAATCACGTCGACAGTATCGCGGAGGGACTTGATGACTGCCTGGCCCTTCAGCGCTTCGACTGTCAGCGAGGTAGTTTGCGCAGGCATGATTATAAATGCTACGACAGTTGTCTTGCTACCGGAGGACTTTAATCGGTGGTTAAGACGCGCAAGCGACTCTATGAACATATCGACACCCTTGTTTCGGAACTCATAACGTCCAGCAGTGAAGAAATAGAGGGTATCTTCCGGTACGAAGTCATAATGACCATAGAAGTGACCCCGGACAAAGTCGTGGATCTTCTCCTTGGACTGTTGGTGCAAGTTCTGGAATTCATGTATGGCCGAGAATTTGGTGACGTTAAGACCGTTGGGTAGCACACCATCCGGCTTGCGTTTGAGTAAATGTTCGCTCTCGAAAGCCGTGATGTGTGAGACAGTGGTAAAGACGTCGCAAGAGTGTGCAGCAGCGCGCTCTATACAGTAACGGTGATAGATACCGCGTTTCCCGGCTTCCGCATCGACGTCAAACCATTGCAGATTATTATAAAAGTCGACAGAACCGGCGCAAAGATAACGGCCTAGTAGAGTTGCGTGTGTAGTGAAGACGGTGGTGACGTCTATGCGCCGCTTCTTAGTTAGCGGCAATGCGACACCAGCAAGCCATTCGTGAAAGTGAGCAATGACAGCTTTAGTCTTCTCATGACAAACGAACTACAGAGGAAGAAGAAGAAAAAAGGTCAGCCAGCTAGGTCCCAAGCCGTACGCGCGAGAAATAAAACGCCTACCTCTCCTAGAAACCAGGCGACCAAATATCCAAAGACGATTGCCTCATTAGTCTCATCGTCGCCTGGTGGGGCCGGGATACTGGCAACATTCCACAAGTCTGCTTTCCACTCATCCAAATATCTATATGCCGTTTTGGTGTCGATTAACAGTACTCTAGGAGCTCCTTCGATGAGCCATCGTCCATAAAGTAAGCCAATACCTCGGTTTTTCATAGCCTCAATACTGGCAGCGAGTTCTGGAGTGTTTGGCTCTAGCTCTTCAACCTCGACGGCGGCCTAGTTTTGGTCAGAGGAGTGTGTTAATGGCTACGCTTAGAAAAAGAATAGAAACTTACTGATTGGTGGTTGAGAGGACCGATAAGTGTATATCGGTCGCCATACTCGGCAGTGGTAACAGGCGCCTTGGACTTAATGACAGAGTATATACCACCAACTAAGTTGAATGTTAGCTTAGAGATTAAGATTGCATAAATTTACGCCAGTGTTTCTAAGACATACCGCGATGAGCTACCTCGGTCGCGATCTCGAAGAGTATGTGATTCTTCACTTCGCGGGTAGCTTTCTCCCCGCTTTCAGCCATTGTGGTGGTTGGCGTAGCAGATTCGAAGGTACAAGGAGCAACGAGGTGTTACCAAAGGGAATACAAGGAAAACCCGTAAGCTATATATTTAACAAATTTGACGTAGTTAGCTTTATATATGTGTGAAAGAAATAACAAGCCTCCCTCGAGTCATAGCGCAAGTAGAATCGGATCGAGATAGCTCTCACCTAAAGTATCTAAAACAAATTTCGGGACAACCCTCAAACCTCAGGCTAATAGCTAATAGCTTAGAGACCTCGCGATGTTACGAGATTCGATAGGATGGACTGACTCGGATGGGGGGAAGATGATGGACAAAACTTAAGAAGGAGGGGGAGCAAAGAGAAGAAAAAAAGATGTTATTCGAATTCCGAGGTGGAGATTGGGATGCATGCTCTCAATGAAGAATTCATGGAGGCGCTTTTTGTAGTTTGGCATCATTGCGTACACTGGGCAACAAGGAATTTACCTAGGAAATCTACCTAATAACAAGCTACCCGGGCACTGGCTAGACTGCTAGACTGCTAGGGTACAATACCTCTACCTTAACTACATAAGGTTAGACTTGATTCTGTCTCGATCGCATGACATCCTTACCTCTTACTTTACATAGTAGGTACATACTTTGTATGAGCAGCTTTTAGTGAATTTAGTTCAAGTATGTACCTCCCTCCGTCGCTACTCCGTAGACCCGCAATCCCGCAAGCCTTGCCATCATAACTCCGCGCGACTCCAAGTCTCCCCCGGAGAGAATACAAAGGAAATAGTAATAGATCTAAAACACAGCTTTGCCGCTAAATATGCGGGAACCAACCCTATGACGCCAGAAACCGTTATTGCATCTTGACAGCTTAAGCAGGCAGCTTTTAGGTATAATAGTAGTAACTATGCTTCAGGTAGTGTAGTATTAGGTATTAGGTAGTGACTATGTAGTTGGGGGTTTGGGTATTACCTACATATTAGGCATTCATTTGCAAGTTGTTGGGTTCGTTGTTGTTCATGTACCTAATGTAAGTAATATCTCGAGTTGCTAGAGCGGCAGCTTATTTTAAGTCGTGCTCGAAACGTTCCATCAACAATACCTAGCCTCGTGTACAGGGATGCGAAAGAAAAAAAAGAAAAGGCAAGATCCCTTGGGTACCTGACAAACTACATGGTCTAACTGCTAGTTATTCCAAGTATGCAGACCTATCCTGACCTATCCCGCAACGAGAAAATAGCGCTGTGATCCTTCCCTATTCCATACGTACATACGTAAATATGGGCCGATGATCCGCTACAAATCTCGCTTCTTCTAGCAAAGACTGAGAATTTAGGATTTAGATGTCTCCTTATTCGTTGTTTGGGGTATAATACTGATAATACAATCTTGTACATGCAGTTAGGTAGTTGTATGATTTAGAAACTTTAAAAACTGGTGGACGTATGATGTGGGGTTGGGGGGGCTCGCCACAGGATTGATAAAAAAAAAAAAAGGCATGATGCTCGTGCGTCAATGGGTGGATATCCAAGTTCTCGCCGGACTTCACGCATACCTGTAATGCGGGGAGCTGGGCTGGAAGTCAATTGCTTAGGTACCTGCGAACCTACACTAATTGCGGGATAAAAAGGATAGCTCCACTCAAATCTTGTCTTCCCTTCAGCACCTTTGTTACATACCTAGGTACAGCCTCGATACAACTAAATCATATGCCCGGCCAAATTTACCCGCTGCGGGGGTTCTTTATCTTGACAAACCTAATACTAATATTCTCAAAGGAGAAAAAAAAAAAAAAAATCAAGACATCAAGACGACAAGCAGTAAGGGTAATAAATAGGGAAACGACGAGTTGATCCATCTCTAAACCTAAACTCATCCTTGGAATTTATTGTAAGGGAATTTTATGCACGTAAAACCTAACTATAATCACACGTAGGGACTAGAAAAAAATAAGCCCGAACCCCTAGACGCCTAGCCAATGCTCTTTTCTTTCTAAAGACATACTATCATATACCCTGGACCTTCCTATACGAGGGCGGTTTCATGGTTCTCCTAATCAACTTCCCAGCGTACGGCGGTATTAGAGAGATCGAACCGATGGCCAATACACGCCAGAGAAAGCCCCTGTCACAACACAGATGAGTTAACCGTTCTAGCGGTACTGACGGGGGAAATAGTACTCACCAGCTGAGAAGAAAGTCAAGGTCAAAGTACCCGCCTAGGAACGGCATCGACCCGACGTAGAAAAGGAAAGTTCCAACGATACACATGATCATGACCGGGTGCCAGGTCGTGATCTCAATTGTCACCATCAGGAGCTCGTTTAGGATGAGGACCGTGTAACTAACAGCCACCATCCTCGGACCATCGACTTCGGTAAGTATTTGGGATAGGCCCTGGATCATGCCGCCTTGATATATTGACACGAAGACCCAGACGAAAAAGGTACGGTAAGATAAGGAACGGCCAGACGTTAGTTCTTTGTAGAGCTCGGGGTAGAGGTTCGCAAGATTTTCATCTACATCCTTGTCCAGAACGAGAGAGAGTACTGGTGCTGCCGTATAAACGGTAGCATATCCCACGAGAAGCCAATCCTACAGACTGTAAGGCGAGGTCATTATAAAAAAAGGGGGGGATGTGGTAGAAACGTACCTTGTACAAGCCCTCTGGTTCAAATTTGATGGCAATACTATACATGGTCTGACAGACAGCAATAATAAGTCCACGATGAATGACGAATTGAGCGAGCTTGGCACTTCGCTTGTAGCTATTTCGACCATGCCACACTAGTAATTTCGTGAGGTGACAGAATTGCTCGATGGAGAAGTCTGCTGCGAGACTGGCCTGTCGACCCTCCTTGCCAACGATACCAACTCCCACATCCGCGGCTTGAATCATAGACACATCGTTCCCACCATCACCAATGCAACAAACTCGCTTCTTAGTGAACTCCTTGATCAGTTTCGCAATGTCCGCCTTCTGCGTGGGTGAGCACCTGCAAGCAACCACTGTTGGTAGTCGCACAGCTACTGAAATAAAATCAACCCTGAAATGCGTTAGATAAAGCATCAAGCTTTCACCGTCAATTAGTAGGCAGGCGTCAGTCTTGCTTCTAAGGAAGTCGAGATGATCTTGTGCATTATCCTTATGCTTGAGCTTGGCAACCGTGTATATATATTGTCCGCGCGCAACAAGTTTGGAACTGACAGCGACGCATCTTGCCGTTTCAACTTTGTCGCCTGTTAACATCCATATTTTAATGCCGGCATTTCGAAGTAGCTCTAGAGACGGCTTTACATCCCTCTGAAGCTTATCCTCAACACCGGTGACGCCCAAGAGTTCGAGGTCACGCTCGAGGAATTCTGAGACCACGTGTTGCATCCCGGCATCACGGCCGCTGATCGCTAAAGAAGCTTCCTGGTAGCTAGTCGAGAAGTCTCGGTACTGTTCGTAGGATATCCTTTTTCGTCCAACCACCAAAGTTCTTAGGCCTTCCCGGGCCATATTCGCAGTCTCCTCATCTAGCCAGTCATTCGCAGCCACAATAGATCCCATCACCGTGTCAGCACCCTTCTGGTAGAACCATATCTCTCCACTATCTGAGCCTGAGGGAGAAGGCTTCGACTGCTCATGAAATCGAACGATTATACCCATGCGCTTACCGTCGGAAGTAAATGGGAATATGTCTAGAATCTGAACCTGCACAACAACCCTCCCTGTCTCCGTTGATTCAAGGACCATCTTCTTGCGGTCTCGGTGTGCAAGGCGGAGACCAACAGATTCGGTCCATCGTACAATGGCTATTTCGTCTGGAGAAGAAGCTTGGTATGAAGTGACTGTTTGCCCATTTTCCTCTTCAACGGTCGGAGTCACATTGTGACAAAGAGCTAAAGCTAGAACAACGTCCCGAACCCTAGATCCGATCTCCCGCCGTGTTCTGGTCGCAGTGACTCCTGCCGTCGTATTATAAGAAGACGAAGGTGTGACGAGCGCAGTATCATTCGGCGTTCCGATGAAGCCGTGTCTTACATATGCCACCACCTCGTCCATTGCCTCGTTGGCATAGGACACAGTACCTACATGTATCTTTTTCATTTCCATTTCGTTTTGGGTCAAAGTACCCGTCTTGTCACTGAGCAAGTATTCGATGCGCCCTAAATCCTCCGGAATCGTGCTGGTCCGGACTACTGCGCCCGGGATACCAGGATCTCGTTGAATGAACCACGAATAAACACTCTTTCCCATGTCAAGGTTCACCCTGAGACTAATCGGGACAATGGTAGAAAACAATACGAGAAATCGCATGATCTTCACGTACCAGATATTGCCTTCGGTATTGCCAAATCCTTCCAAGGCCACAAGAATAATAGACAGTGCCAACGTGAGCGCGCAGAGTATTTTGGTCAAAGAGTTGATCTCGTATTCTAGCAACCCCGTCTTAGATCGTGACAACGAGGTGGAAAGCGCCGATCGTGTCTGCGGTCCAGTATAGACGATGACGGCCATAGTAGTCGCTTGTGAAGCGATTATAGTGTTTGCCCAAGCAGTATTATCAATTGACAGCGGAGCAGAACTACCCCTATCACTTATACTACTTTCATCGGACTGGTTATTCAGGACGTCGTGTTTTGTCGCCATTAGCTCGACCTTGCCAATAAATTCGTTGACCTTTTTATCCGGTTTCCCACCAGTTACCCTAACGCGGACAAACTCTTCGACAGGTAAGGTCTGAGTTAAGACGGACGCGAGACGAAGTTTCCAGTCCGTTTCACCGTCAAGCTGATCTGTCCTGATGAACGTCTCTCCAGAGGACGTACCTTCAGAAGCATCTGAACTGACAACTTCAGGGTTCTTCCCCTTTCCGGAGGAAGAATTGTTTTGATCTGCATCTGTCTCAAAGGGGTTAACCAGTAACGACTCTGACTCTGCGTCTTCATTATCCTGAACTTGGGCTTGTGGACTTTCTGGCGTGGAGCATTTCAGGATGACGACATCGGCAGGGACGCGCTGGCCTTTGCTAAGCTTGAGGACATCGCCAACCTTTAGATCCCGGGATTTCTTGTTAATTTCTTGGACAGAGGACGACGGATGACCTAGGCCTTGGCCTTCTGTTTGTTCTTCTTCCTCCTGGATGTCTGACAACCGGTCTCTTTGGGTTAATGGTTGGCGGTCTGCTTTCCGCGAGAATGTTGATTTGGAATTTTTGGGACGGCGGAGGGCTGAATTCTGATGACTTGGCTCTCTAAACTGTAGGACAACATATTCCTCAGAGTTCGCTTCATTGTCTCTCCGACGCCGCTCTATATCATCGTATGCCTCCTTTCCCATTGTGATAACAAGAACGAACGCAAGCGGCGCGACGTACGTGGATAAATAACCTATCCTCAGGGCTGGAATGGCCTGCGATAAGGCGACCAGTAGAAAATACATGTTGAAAAAGAAAGAAAATTCATTATAGAGAGTAATAGGAAGAAATGTGAGCGCTGTGTATTTCGCATTCGAGACGAGATTCGGCGGGTAACGTATAGATTGAGGGGAACCAACGGCGACGGTCCTCGACGTCGAGGGGTCATCTTCCCTATTATCAATGGCCGTATCATCATCTTGCCGATTTGAACCTGTGCTTGACATAAAGCTAGGCAGCCTTAGAGAGGAGCCGATTTGAGCCAGGCCATGTAGTCTATCACTAGCGAATGATCGTCTCTGAGGGCGAGGCGCATATTCGTCTAAAAGGGGAGCTTCATCGCCGGCATGGTGACTTCCTTCCGAGTAACGCTGCCCATGTATATCACCCTCTAGCAAATCTGCAGCGTCACTATTCCCATCCCTACTGCGACCAAGCTCGCCATAGCCGCGACTTCGATTCCCCACCCGTCTCAGACCGCCCATGCGAATATTTCTCAACGCAATCCGTGGCGCTCGCTGTTCGGGACTATGATTGCGTCCAAGTAGCCGGGAGGCTTGGGCATGCGACGAGGTGGTAGGATCTAATTCTTGTAGGTCCAGGTCGACATCTGAATCCGAGTCGTTTACAGGGGAATCGGGCGGCTCGGTCGGACGGTATGAGTTTAACGGCGGCATTCCCGCATTGGGATCATGCTCCTAAGAGGAGCTACTTAGAAAATACGGAACCCGACTGATGGCGTTCGCAGTAATGGACAATACAAAGTCAACATGCGAATAACCTAGAGCTTACTGTAGCAGATGTGGGCAGAATAGCCTCGAGTTGCCCGAACGTGCGCGTAATAATATCTGATGAGGCCTTGTAGATATTATAAAATCCTTAGCGAATTCGAGACATAATAATCTTAATAGCGAAGCCTAGTGGTGGGAGTGCAAGAGGAAAACGATTATAATTTAGTTGTATGTGAAGTGTTAAAGTTGGCTAAATATCAAATGTTCGAACTTCCGTAAATGTGGCTCATTGCAGGCAGACGGATACATCTAGTTACATTAATAGCCTACATACGGTACAAGCTACCTCATAAAGCGTAGCATGGCGTACCCACTTACGCGCATACCATGCAAGTACATACGTAATACCTACAAGGTACATAGGTACTTACATACATGAAATACTTTGTACAGGTAGTCAAGTTCCTTCTTCAAACTTACCGTACGTATAGCTTATCTATGTGACCCTAAATGGGGGGTATATTTTACTTAAACATGTTTGATGAGTAGGCCGATTAATTATAGAGCCATAACTACCTACCTAACCTAATAATTAAGGGTAGGGAAATCACAGCTGGAGTAGTCGTCTAGAAAAGCATAAGTAAAATAACTCGGATCATTCTTCCATACGCTTATTTATTATCCTATTAGCCCGGCACGTAGAGCGGTTTGGCCATGATCCATATGCGCTCAAGGGGAAATAATTGTAGTCGTTCGGATCGTACAAATCGAAAGCCCTCGATTAAACGCTTCATTGTAATAGAAAAGGGTTCAATGGTCTTCATCTCCCCCCTGATATCCACTATCATCCTAGCCCTAGCCATATAATAAAGCTGCTGGGAAGTTAATTGTGTGGTTAGGCAATAGTAGTAATTACTACTAACGTGTTCCTGTCCGCCAACGCTCTAATATGCCGTGTGGGTATGTCCGCCTCTTCCTCTTCTTCTTCTGTCAGTCCTAAACCCCCACCATGTCCTAAACAGCAGGGCTCAAGTCACAACTTTTCATCATATCCGCCTCGCTCACCTGCCAAGTTCATCCAACGGAAGATCGGCTTCGTCTTTTCCAACGATAGAATCAGCAACCTTCCAGATCTGGAGCATATTGTCCTCAGCAGCGCTCGCCACGAGCCAAGGGTCGTTCAAATTCCAGCTGAAATCGGCGAGATGATTAGTGTGCCCACCGTGCATGAATAAACTACCAAGTATCAGCTAGCGTATCTCCGTATGATATTAAAAGACTTACAGTTCAGGAGGTCCGTCTTCTTGATCATCCGGTTGTTGTTCCTCACCAACTCTACTTAGATCCCAGAAGATGATTCGCCGGTCGTAACTAGCACTGCCTAGAATGCCTGCTTCGTGAGGATGCCAGGAAAGAGAAGTGACCGCGTCTTGGTGGCCTTCCAACGTGTGGACCTTTTCCTTTACGTTACGAAGGTCCCAGATACCGATGGTCTTATCAGCGGATGCGGTCGCCACGAGAACCTCAGTCGACGGGTTGAATGCTAGTGAGTTAATAGCATCGCTATGTCCATCTTTGGCAACCAAAGATGATTGAGTATTGGACGGCTGTCTCACATCCATAATTTGCAGAGTTAGATCATCGGAAACACTGCCGATGAAGTTTTTAGAAATAGGATGATATTGAACATCGTTGACGATGTTAGTATGATGAGTAAAACGGCGAGAAGGACCGAGGGTAGTGCTGCCATTCTGTAGCGACTTGAGGTCCCTGTTGCATGTTATTAGCACGATCCAATAATAGCCCACGATAGGTTGCCAAGGGAGCAGCATACCAAAGACAGACGGTCTGATCTTCGCTTCCTGACGCTAGAGCACCTTCAGAATGGGGGTTCCAGTTGAGGCCAAATCCCTCTTGTTTATGACCTTCGAGGCTAATTTGAGGATTAACCTTGCCGTTCGGCTCGAAGCTATGCTTAGTTCTATCGAAGATAAGGATTCTGCCATCAACAGCTAGTGTTGCGATCAGGTCGGGATTCTGAGGGCAGTAACGGGCTTTATTAACCTCGCCAGGGTGGTCAATCTTCTGAATGATGCTCCATTTCATGGCTGTGGTAACATCTGTAGACGGGGATTTACCGTAGCCGCCGATTTCACCCCGCTCGTCATCATAGTCGTTTGCATTAGGGCGAACTGACTTGGGTATCTCGACTTGGGCAATCTGAAGATGGTTCGGCTTGCCCTCAGAGGTATGCGTTCCGATTAGAACTCGGTGAATACGGCAGTTTTTCCCCTCGGGCTCCTTCACATCGGGAAACCATTGAACGGTGAGAGTAGGCCATGTTAGGGCGGTGCTGCAACTTGTCAGCAGGAGGAGCCAACTCGTGCTGCCATGTAAAAGCTCACCTCAATATCATATCGTAGAGAAATGGCGAGTTTTTTTTCCACGTCTTGTACTCTAGTAATCGTAAGGAATGCACTAGTCATCGCGGAAAATAATCGTGGCTTACCTTCGTTGATAAGTCTCTGCTCCTCGTCTTCATCATAGTCCTGGGCCATGTCCACTTCTACTACGTCAATAAGTAAACAAAAGGACATGATGGGAATGGATATAGAATACTAACCTTCGACATCCTCGACAACAGGGCCTGGAGCCATATTGAATTAACCTTTCTCGTAGAATCGATTACGGTATGTTGCGATTTCGGGAGTTGAGCTTAGGATATTTGCTAAGTGTTCGGAAGGAATTTCGCGACTAGACGCGATGCGCGTAAAGTGCAAGGTTGTATCCGCCTACCGCCTACCGCCTACCACCCGATCAGATAAAAGTGGATTACGTAATGAATTTCCATGAATACATATGTACATACCTCATATGTACATAACTACCTACATGTAACTAACAAGAATGTCTCAGCCGTATGAATGCGGGGGAGCTGATAGGTACATTGTACATCGTACAATTCATGTACTTGAATTTTGGGGTAAGGCTGTCGGGTACCTACGTCCTCGTACCTATCCCCACTACACAAGGTTGTGTGCCACCACAGCAGCTACGCAGCCCACGACACCACTAACCTGCAAAACCATATTCGCGGTCAATGACTCCTCGTCGCCGAGATCAGAGCTACACAATCATACTACACACATAGATACATACACAGATCCGCGTCGCATTCAAGTTACCGAGGTCGCCAGTAACCTGTCTATCGTCGCCAAAAAAAAGATTGCATTTGCCCCAGATGCATTGCTTCGACAATATTCGACAAAAATTTAACCACATCGTCTATTCCATATAACGCCTTACTTCTTTAAGCGCCCTTCCTCATTAAAAGTCCCTAGCAGAACATCAGGTCGCAAAGCAGTGTATCACAGTTCCTCGCCGACGAGACCTGAGTTGGACAAATTTTGTCATATCATACATCGATCTTGCGGCGTCGTACACATTTTATAACTTCATTTCCTTTTCATCAACTCCCACTAATCAAACTAAGGTCAGAATGGGGTACGTAAAGTCATTCTCAAAATCAGATTATAAAGCACAGTATTAACCCCAGTCTAGTGTTCCCAAGTTCTTCAGATGGCTCTCGGAGCGATATCCTGCGATATCCCAACTCATTGCCGAGAATCGCATCCCCGAATTCGACAACCTTTATGTACGGCAATCCACCAATATATCCTCTCTCGCCGTCGTTCGCTAACCTACGTAGTTGGATATGAATGGTATCATACATAATTGTACCCACAAAGACACCCACGATACCTCGTTCCGTCTGAGCGAAGATGAGATGTTCATTCGCATATTTAACTATATTGAGCACCTGTTTGGCAAGATCAAGCCCAAGAAACTGTTCTTTATGGCTATTGATGGGGTGGCCCCCAGAGCGAAGATGAACCAGCAGAGAGCTCGCCGTTTCCGAACTGCGTTAGATGCCGAACAGGCTCGCGAGAAGGCAATACGAGAGGGCCAAGAACTGCCAAAGGATGACCCCTTTGATAGTAATTGCATCACGCCAGGTACCGAGTTCATGGCCAAGTTAACCAAACAGCTCAAGTACTTCATCAGCAAAAAGATCTCCGAGGATTCCGATTGGCAGGTTTGCGACGTAGTTCTGTCAGGTCACGAAGTACCCGGCGAAGGAGAGCACAAGATCATGGAGTACATCAGGAATGCGAAGGCCCAGCCCGATTATCACCCTAATGTTCGTCATTGTTTATACGGCCTGGATGCCGATCTTATCATGCTGGGGTTGTTAAGCCACGATCCTCACTTCTGCTTGCTTCGAGAAGAGGTCACCTTCGGCCGCGCCTCTAAGACGAAATCGAAGGAGCTAGAGCATCAAAACTTCTACCTGATGCACCTATGTATGGTTCGGGAATATCTTGAATTGGAGTTCCAGGAGTTGAAAAAGGAAGGAGCCATAAAAGTGCCTTTCGACATGGAGAGGATCATTGACGATTTCATACTTATGGCGTTCTTCGTTGGTAACGACTTTCTTCCAAGTCTACCTAATCTTCATATCAACGAGGGGGCTTTGGCAACCATGTTTCGTATTTATAAACAAGTCCTCCCGCAGTGTGACGGTTACATCAACGAAGGGGGGGTCATCAACCTCGCTCGTTTGGGACTCTTGCTAGAGGAACTTTCCAAGGAGGAGGACCGATTTTTCGAGCACGAGAACGCCGACTCCAGGTGGCTCAAGGGTAAACAGTCGGTGGAAAACAATGGCGAAGTGCCGGCGAAGGCGAAAGGACAGCTCGTTATAACCAGTTCTCAGAAGGAGTTATGGAAGAAGATAAGGAAGTTCATAAATACGCAGCCGCCTACTTCTCTCAACCTTGGCCATGAGCTTATTGCTGCCGACCGGAAATTCGTACAGGACACCGCTGATAGCCTTCATGTTGAGTGGCGGACCATCGAAGACGATGATGGACGACGCAACCTAGTCCTAACAATTCCTACAAATCCAGACGGAGATGAAAATGATGAAGAAGAGGAAGAAGGCCACATGGCATTGTTTCGCGTTATGAAGCGTTATGACAGAGCTCAGGTAGTCGACTCTTCTGCCGAAGAAGCCCAGGCGGCCGCGCAAGCAAAGTATAAGGAAAAGTTCTTGGAGTGGAAAGACAAATATTATGCAAGCAAATTCGAATGGTCTCCGGAGGCCAAGGAGACAGAGCTGACGAAGCTTTGTGAGAATTACGTACAAGGCCTACAATGGGTACTATACTACTACTATAAAGGAGTAGCTTCTTGGCCATGGTTTTATGGCTATCACTACTCTCCTATGACATCTGGTAAGTCCTGGCGACCGTGATACTAAAGCAAATGGCTATGCTAATAGTCGACCCATCTAGACATTATGAAAGGCATGAATGCCGATCTAACATTCAAGCTCGGTCAACCCTTCCGACCGTTTGAACAGCTCATGGGTGTTCTCCCAGATCGAAGCAAGAAGATTGTTCCTTCGGTATATCACGAGCTCATGACAGATCCTAAGTCACCAATCATCGATTTCTACCCACGAGACTTCGAACTCGACATGAATGGCAAGAAAATGGAATGGGAAGCAGTTGTCAAAATCCCCTTCATCGACGAGAAGCGACTGTTGTCTGCAATGGCACCCAAGAATGAGCTTCTTACACCAGATGAAAAGGCTCGCAACAGCTTCGGTGTTTCAATGAAATTCACATACGATCCTAACATTGACTTTATATACCCGTCGTCCATGGTCGGAATCTTTCCCGATATTCCCCACTGCCATTGCGTTGAGAACATTTTTGACCTACCCACAACAGAAGGGCTGGAGTTATATGTTGGCCTACTCAATGGCACAAAGGTTGGCGTGGACGCGTTAGCAGGATTCCCCAGTCTTGCTACACTACCTTACAATGCTACCCTTGGCTTCCACGGAGTAAATGTTTTCCAGCAGGAAAGCCGAAACGAGAGCATGGTTGTAACTCTAGCCGACGTAGAGCTCCGAAGTAGAGTTGAGTCGGCAAAAGTCAAGCTGGGGCAAAGATGCCATGTTGGTTATCCCTTCTTACAGGAGGCTAAAATAACACGTGTATCAGACGAACTATTCGACTATTCGTTAGCTACGGATGGTTCTGGCCAAGTGATACAGACTCACCATTCTGGCAGGGAGATCGACGACTGGAATAGAAAGGCGTTACGCATTGAGAATTTCTACAGTAGCCGACTCGGTATCATTATTGGCCCTGTAGAATCCATGGTCCATGTTGAAATGCTGAAGGGGCTCATTAAGACTGATGAGGGTGCCACCATTAAAGAATATGGCCCAATTCCAGGCATGGAAACGGATTATGCAGCACAGGCCATCGTCGACGAAGTTATAAGCGAAGACGAACGGTTCATTGAAAAGGCCGCAATACCATTCGAGGAGGAGTTCCCCGTCGGATCTCGCTCTTTCTTTCTGGGAGATTATGCCTATGGGCGTCCTCTTCAGATCTCAAGTCACAACAACAATCAAGCCGAGATTATAGTATCTTTCCCGTCCGTAAAAGAGCCAAACTTCACGCAGCAGATCATCCGTCGCGCCGAACAGCAAAGTGGTTACCGGCCCTCTTACGCCGTTGCGAAAGACTTGGGGCTTCACCCGCTTGTTTTAAGCAAGATCACTTCGTCTTTCTTCGTTCATACGATAGGCGGCAGCATGAAGGTTAATCTCGGACTAAATCTCAAGTTTGAGGGAAGGAAGCAGAAGGTCTTGGGGTACTCGAGGAAGTCAAATTCGGGATGGGAATTCAGTCCTGCTGCGATTCAATTGCTAGTAGAATACATGACTCGTTTCCCCGATTTCTTCGCTGCTGTGATGCAGAACCCGTCAGGGAGCGAACTCAACGAGACTCAACTCTGGCCGGACAGCAACGTCGCCACCGCTAGGATTAAGGAGATTGGCGCATGGCTCAAAACTGTGGAGACCAGTAAGTTCGAGCGAGTTCCTCTCGATGCCGAACAGCTAGACTCCGAAGTGGTCATGCAGCTCCAGAATGCGGTAGATTCGCTAAGGGAAACCAATGAAAAACACGAACCTAAAAAGCTCAAGGGTGTTCCCCGATCCGCGTTACTTAACCCGAAAGATGCTACGCAACGACTCGGCAATCAGAAGTTTAGCTTAGGTGATCGGGTTGTCTATGTGCAGGCGTCTGGAAAGGTACCCATTGCTTCTAGAGGTACAGTTGTTGGTATAACCACTGTTGGGAATCACCACATGCTCGATATACTCTGCGACAACGCATTCATGAATGGAACAACCTTGGGCGGTCGCTGCGATCCTTTCCGGGGACAGACTATCCCAGCTAATTCGGTACTCAATGTCACGAATAGGCAAGTGATTGCAAATTCGAAGATGAGTCTAGAAAAGCGACCAACTCAAACAACGTTACCCCTTCATACGCGAGGGTATGGTGCACCCGGGGGCTCAGGTAGTCAATTTAGAGACGCGCCAGCACCAGGTCCCCTTCGTGGAACCTGGCGGGGCGCCGTAAATGGCTTTAATCGGCAACCAGGACAAGGGCGTGGCGGTGGCCAGGCTCAGAAACCTAACGGAGCTCCTCGGCTACAACATAGTAGTTCGGTTTACCAGTCGGCACCCAACAATGATCCATCGCAAGGGTCAGCACAACAAACTGGT